TAAGTTCCCGTGTTATTAAGCCATAGAGTTCAGGTAACAAGCCGACGTGAAAGTTAGGGTTAGCTTACCGTCGTATATCTGGAATCTCGGCATGTGGAACCTTTTCGGGGCCTCAAATTTGTCCAATTCAACCGAGAACGGCGTTCTCGGCTTGACGGTGAGGTTACCTCAGCATCTTGTCACTTCCTCTGGAGGTAATCCCTCAAATCCTCCTTGGTTCGTCCAAAAGCTCAGGCTATCAACGGATTTCAGCCTTTTTCGGGTGCGCTACTCCCAGTATCGTTATGAGTCCTCTTGGACTTTTCTCCATTAGTTGCGTCAAAATACAGTTTTTTTCCTTGAACATGCCGATGTTCTTTGGGTCAGCTTCTTTTGGTGCGTACGTCCTCCGAGAATCTCCCTTTATTGACTTTCCTCGCTCGACCTCCCTTGAAGACCGGTGAGAGTGCTCTGTTCGTCCTAGTGTGCTGGGGGGGACGTAGGGACTTGTTTTTTTGTCCCCTTCTCTGGGCATTGTTCTTGGCCGCTAGAATTGGCGTATCTTGTAACGGAAACGGTAACTGATGACGTTGTCTTTGCATCATGAAATTGACGACTGATTGCAGGTCCGCCAATTTATTCGCCATTTCCTTCATCTTTCCGTTTCTCCGCAGGCATCTATCTTTCATACCTGAGGTCGTTCTCGTTATAATACCCGCCTCGGTTTGCCTTCTTTGGTACGTCTCCCTCCTGGCCGACGTTATTCTCTCTGGGATTTTGATCTAGGTTCTTTGTTGCAGTTATCCTCCTCTACGTTTAGGATCATAGTGTTTACCACTTCCAGTAGGGATGTCGTCCCCAATTCTTCTCTTTCTGTCCGTCGTTGGCCATCTATTCTCTTTCTTTCCCACAGACGGCGCCAAATTGTGTGTGCTATTTTTTGAACCACACTGCCAACCAAGTACTCAACTGGAGAACACCGCAGAATATATTGTGTCCGAACGACCTATAACAGAAAGATGAGACTCCGGCGGTGGTTCGTCCACCCAGGGGTACTCCGACGATCAATCAGTTAATCAATATCTCTCAAAGATAACCAATTGTGCTTTAACTCGCAATGCCAGAATATAAAAAGCATACCTTATACCCATGAGGGTGCCTTACTTTTATAACCAACACTGACCTGATCCTGTAGAAGCCTACTTCAATGGACTCTGACTTAATGCTTATCCTGACTCTCATGATAAGAAACTCTCTAAGAGTTTATCCTTATCAGGCAAAAGTCATTATCATTCTAGGACTCTTATAACTTATCCATTTATCTCGGACTCGGTATTCTCCGCAGATAACCTCGACTTAGCCGAGATTACTCTAGGCGCCATGATCAAGGCACGTGGCACCTCGGCTGGCACTCCGGTGCCACCTTAGCCACGTGTTATCATTCAAAAAATATGTCTCCCACATTACCAGTCAAATAAACCCAAGGGCGATACTAAATTCAATAGTGCAGAACTAACAGCTACATTTGGGTCAAACTAAATTCGATAGTAACAACCTATAGGACCTGATCTAAATTCCCAACTAAATTTGGGCCAAACATAAGTCCTGTAAATCAAAAACAAATTTGGGCCAATAATCAATGACCAATAAAAGAGGTGATTCTACTTGCATCTAAATAATAATTTAATACACCTAATTAAAATTTAAAATTTAATTATCATATTCTAATGTAAATTTATTAATACGAATAATACACATATAAACTCTAAATAAAATATTATTTCCCTATACAACCAAATTACTTATGTGTATTATTCATATTCAACTCTTATTCATTTCATCTTCAAATTTTCAATTATTTTTTTATTTTCTTTCTATTTCAAAAGTCCAATCCCCCTATCAAACTCCTTTCTATTCAACGAAAGTTTGGAGATTTGGCCAAATAAAGCTAAACGAACTGCCATAGGTTCTTTTGGTAAAGAGGAAGAATCATGGCTGTTATGGGCTACTACATCAACCAGCTCGCCTTGGGAACAAGGGAGGATAGGTGTATTTAGAGTTTTTGAAAAATTTGTTTAAGAGTTTTTGAAAGGTTTTTTTAAAAATAATATAATTTGAAGTTTTGATTTGCTTATTATTTAGGTGTAATTTAAAGGTAATTTTGAAAAAAACATAAGGTATTTTGAGAGTAAATTATAATATTAAATAATTTAATAAAAACGTATTAAGAAACTTTATTGGATGCAAATAGAATCTCTCATAAAAAGCTATACTTACATGTGGGGCAGATCCACTTCACATAAAGCCTAAACAATAAATTCTCTTATGTATAATAAATAGAATGATCATTTATATTTTATTTTGTAAAGTAGGTAAAAGTTGAATTTTAATTTTTTTTATTTTTTTTGAAAAAATCGTATAAAAAAATAGAGAGAGTATGTGTGACTTAAAATAACTTAACAGCTAAAAAAGTTAATTGGAGTTACCAAAACAAGCCCAAATGTTACTATAAGGAAAAACAATGTGTGTAATTGAAAATAGGATAAATTTAATATATACCCTTTGAGATTGATATTAAAAACTAATCGCTCCATATGGTTTTAGAAATTATATTCCATCCTCTGAGGTTTTAATTTTATAACAAATTTTATTAATAAATCACTAAGTCAATTAACATTTTTTAATGATATTAGAAATATATTTCAATTAATAATTTAGTAATTTTATTATTGTATTAGAAAAGAAGTTATGATTTTTATTTTTTAGTTTTTTGTAAAACAAAAATTTAAACAATGGAGTATTATAATTTTTTAAATTATAAAGAAATCTATATTTAAATAAAATCTTTAAAAAACGTATATTTATAATTACCTTAAAAATATTATAGGCGTGTTAGAGGCAGTTGAAGATATTTTATTTTTATTTATTTTTTATTTATTTTGATTTAGGCAACAAAAAATTGAATAATGATATAATTGTTATTGTAACTGCGCCTCTGAGCATTTTTTTTAAAAGAAAAATTTGTAACATCCACGCAAGTCTATCTTTTACTCTATATAAATAATAGTAACTAGAAGATGGTCACACTCACATAGTGTGCTTAAATTAAAAAATTAATAGATGTATTTAAAGGTTAATTATAAATCATCACTTAAGAATTTGTTTAAAATATAATTATTTCTATAGTTTGAAAAATATTCATTGTCAGAAATTCTTACTTAACAGAATTAATAAAAGTAAAATAAATTTCTAATATTTTTTCTATACAAATAAACATAAAATTATTTGAATTATTAATTGAATATATTTATAATAACATTAAAAATAATTAATGACGTTGATAATTTATTAGTAAAATTGATAATTTCTTAGTAAAATGAACCATTTGTTATGCGATTAGAAACTTGAAGAGACATGGTGTAATTTTCAGAATTACGGGTGCAATTTATATTTTAAAGAAAACTCAAAAAATATATTTATAATCCTATATTTAAATTTGACAATTACATGGTAATTCAAAAAAAAAAAAAAAAATTGTGACAAATTACGTTTTCACCTTTTAATAAATAGTTGCCCCTAATTCCCACTAATTAATAGTTCTCCCACTAAAAATTAAGAAATTACATCTTAATGAAACCGAAAAAAATAATTAAACATGTGCACTCCATAACTTTTGAGTTACATACTGCCACATAAAGAGTCGCGCGGATTGTTTTATTCATTTTTTTTTTTTGTCTTTGCCACATAAAGAGTTGCATCGAATGTTTTATTAATTTTTTAGATAAATTATACTCATCTCTCCCAAAATTTTTGGCAAATACAAAAACTTTTCCTATGGTTTGAATGCATAAACCTCTCCTACTTTACCTGACATTCTCCAAATTTTCCCTTTTGTAACTTTTGTTAGCACATATAACTGAATATGCTGAGGTAATCAAAGATAATCTAAAAAATGCCAATAATAGGCTCTTGAATCCAGCTATATATACCCAAGGCAAATATCTCATCTTCAAAACCAAGCACAACACACAGAACTGAAAGTAGATAAAGCACAAGACAGAGCTCCACAACCAAGCACAACACAGCTTCACAACCAAGCACAACACAGGTATGCTACCATTCACATTCACATTCACATTCAGTAATTATTTAAAAAAAATTAAAAAAACATCAAGTCCACTCTCCACAGTCCATCACAAGTCATCATATGGATTATATGTTCTAAAAATAATGCAATATAGATATGTCAAGCACAATAATGCAATATATGTTCTAAAAATGCATTATAACTCTCACATTCCATAAAATGTAGGATCGTATGGATATGTCATCATCAAGTAATGGAGAGGGGGTGATCAAGTTTAGAAGTAAGATCTGCTATTGTGGGAGCAAAGCAACAATTAAAGTCACTGAATCAGAGAAAAATAGAGGCAAATTGTATTATTTATGCCCACATGGGAAATGCTCTTTCTGGGATTGGTGCAAACCAAGAAACTCATCTGTTGGAGGACAAATGATGATGGAAGACACTGAAGCTACTGTTAACAGACACACTCTACCATATGAAGAAGATACCACTATAGTGAATTTAATGAACCAAATAGGGGCTATGCAAACAAGGATGCAAGTTCTTGAAGCAAACATGGGGTTTATGAAGATAGTAATGATCATGAATGTTGTATTATGTTTGATTTCCTTGATGGTTGCTCTGAAAATGTAATAGGAATTGCTAGGACTTTAAAGCTTTTGTAATGTTTTGTAAGAATGTTTTGTAATGGACCTTATGTGATCATCAATATATAAGTATGATGCAGTTGTTTGACTATACATCATTCCATTATATTCCCAAAATATAAATGTAAACACCAAGTATGCACTATACATCATTCCATTACATTTTGTACTAGCTGCTATGTCCACTAGAAAAATACAAAAAGTGGAACATTGTCTTCATGGTCTATGCTTACTATTTCATGTCCACTACAAAAATACAAAAAGTGGAACATGATCTTCACTAACTATGCACTAAAGCAATATGTATTATATACTTTAAAGTTATGACAAGTACTTGTACCAAAAACATCATCATCATCATAGCTAATTCATCTGCAAGAAACAACGAAACAAACCAAAAAAAAAACCACTGTTAGATGCATGCTATGTGAAAAAAAAAAAAAAAAAAAAACTTACATGTGCATGCTAAAGTAATGTAATAGGAAGACTAAACAAATATGAAAAACTTACATTCAAACATGCTTGGCATTGGCCTTGCCCCTACCTTTGCCAGTTGATTTTTCCCTCCCAGTTGAAGTGCCCCTCCCAGATGAAGTGCCTCTTCCAGATGAGTTACCCTTTCCAACTGAATTGCCCCTCACAGAACCTCTAACCTTATCAGCAGTGGTGTCATTGCCCCTACCACCAGTTCTGCCACTGCCACTAGTTTCACCCCTTACTGGACCTCTTTGGCAGGTTCTCCTATTGTGTCCAAATTGCATGCACCAATTGCATCTCAAGATACTAGACCTCTTGCTTTGACTTGTTCCAATTGGAGGCTCATGAGCAGCCCTCTTCCTAGCATTCTTTGGTCTCCCTGGCAATCTTTTTAGAGGTGGAGGTTGTAAAAGGTCCCCTTGTATAAGTGTCCACATGGTATGGTCTAAGATAGGATGCATTATCCCACCATTAGCTGTCAAGTTAGTTTGCTTAGAGTAGTATGGGTGGAAAAAATCTTCTAAGGTCAATCTACTATGAGAAATTGCAGCCACAACATGTTTGCATAGAACCCCAGAAATTTCCCACTCTCTACATACACAAGTCATCATGCCAAGATGGACAATGTGATTTACCCCTTCATTATCCTCCGCCTCATACTCTTGACCTCCTGCATACTCTACTCTACAATATCTTGACCATTTCAGTGTGACCTAAAGTTGTTTCTTAATGTTCAAAGTGACATTAGACTTCCATTGTAGAGCCTTCTAATATCTCATGTGCAACTTACCTATCAACTTGCACCTTATGTTCTCTAACATGGTTAAAATATGCTGACATCTCATATTTCCCAACTAATTATTGAAGGACTCTATCATGTTATTTGTGATGTGATCATTCCTTATTCTACCATCAAATGCATGCCTAGCCCTTCCTTCAACGTGCACTTTTTGCAACCATATGAAAGCATCATTTGACATATCCTTGATGGCTTGCATAGCCTGCTCATACTCCCTCTGATTATATGCCCTTGCTGCCTTCTAGAATTGCTTCCTCAACATCAATCCAGGAAATTTTGCTCTAAAATTGTTGAATAAGTGCATGCAACATCTTCTATGAGTAGCCTCTGGTATAATGTCACTCACAATCTTGTCAAGGCCCTGTACACACAAAGAATGAAACATTAGTAACCATTACAAGTATAAAATTAGAGGATAATGCATTATGTAAATAAATTAGCTGTTCAACAAGTAAGTAAATTACCTTTTGTTGAGCAGACAAATGGTCCATGGCCTAGAAGGCAGTGCATCTTGTATGATTGTTCTCAAGTTCTCCAAAAAGAATGTCCAGTTGTCCTTACATTCACCCTCCACTACTGCTAATGCCAATGGAAACAAACCATTATTTCCATCTAAGGCAACTGTTGAAATTAACACTCCACCATAGGGACCCTTCGAGTGACAACCATCCATCCATATGAAGGGCCTACATCCATCAATAAACCCTTTTTTCATTGCCTCAAATGATATGAAGATTCTTTGGAACAATGGTTACTGAGGAATAGGAGTAGGGTCTGGTTCTTTTCTATCTTCTGAGACTGGGGTAGGAGGCAGCTCATAATTTATGACAGCTAAGCTACCAGGGTTTGTTTTCTTAATTTCCTCAACATATGTTGGCAGCAACACGTACTGGCTGCCATGATCACCCTCCAGCTCCTCCTTGTACTTCCTTTTGGCTCTATACAATTGCATTCTTAAGGCCTCAATCCCATAAAGTTTGTTAAGCTTCACTTGCATAATGTCTAACCCCATGTGTGGATTCTTCTTAAAACTATCAACCAATTTCTTGGCAATCCAAGTTGATGTTGTTTCACTATTTTGGTTCATTCTACTACATGTGTGATTAGGTACCAAGGTTTTGATCTTGTAAGTGATCCCATCTGGAAGAGGAGATGCATGAATTCTCCAAGGGCATCCCTCAGCAGCACAATGGGCTGTCACTCTGGCTTTCTCATTTTTGTCCCTAACTATCTTGAAACTAGTCTGCACTGTATAGTCCTAAATCTAGCTCTGAAGCTATGCACATTTGGAAAAATCACTACCTTTTTCAGTACAACTTCTCCTTCTTGATTCAAAAATGGCTCTTTCCCACTGTAAGTACTATGAAATTGGTTGGCTGGATACCTCATCTCTTCATCATCCATCCAGTCTACTTCACCATCAAATTCATCATCACTGCTAGAATATCTTACTTCATCATCACCAGATTGGTAATCACTAAGTCCATCATCTTCATTAGACTCTTCATTATCCTCATCACTCAAATTGACAGTGCCATTTGATTCATGTTCACCATCAACACTTGCATTCCAATCTCTATCCTCATCACTAAACCCATACACATTGTCGTCATGGTACTCTTCATCTACCTCTACAGTATGCACTCCATGAACTCCACTATTTCCATCTCCACCATTGTTATCTCCAACATCATTTCTACTTCCACCATCTTCCTTTCCAATACAATATGCAATATCTACATATAAGTTAATTGTTTTACTCCTACCTTGCACATAAAACATATCCAACACATCAAGATCTTTTTTATTAATCTCATATTCTCAGTACCAGGCATATCATAATGCAATGTGATAGCTATTGCTTCACTACAATCAATGCGAGAGAGGACTATTTCAGTCATATACTTCAAGGCATCAATGTAGCAATACATGTTTGGGTCCACATCGTATATTGTGCCCATTTTGCCTTTGTAGTTGATGATTAAATCAAAATAAGAGAATGCAGCCATATTGTGATCATAATGAGTAACAATTAAGTATAAAAATACTACTCCATTCAACCATTACTCATCCAAATGTAACAAAATTGAACTAATATCATGTTACATCTAAGAAAATTCATAAGTAGTAGAAATAAAAGAAAAATGCCCAAACTTCATAACAGAAAGAAATAAAAGCCTTAAATTTTGCAAATAAACCAAAATTCCTAATTTTCAGTATTTCTTATGAAATCAAGAAAATAAAACTATTTCTAACAATAAATTAACAATCAGAAGATATAGAATGAGAAGGAAAAAAAAAACTAAATTATAGTATTTTTTACAGAAAATTAACAAAATTAACAAAAATTAACAAAAACTTTAAACCCAATCAAAAAATTACAACACCTAACAAACCCCTACTTCTCAATGAAAAAATTTGGACAAAACATAAAAACCCTAAATGTATATTTTCGAATCAAACCCTTTAGACATACATTTCATAAACCAAACCTATACAACCAGAAATTCCGTAAAAATGAAGAAAAATCAAACATAATCATAAACCCTAAACTCAAAATTATCATAATCGAAGTATAAAAAGTTCGAAGTCTGACCTGGAAGCCCTAAAAAAACTTGTCACTGATCAATCTCTTTTACATTTTGTCCTAGCAACGGTGATCGAACCAAATCTAGTAAATTCTTCGTCGTTTCTTCACTTCGATCTCTCTTCTTCCAAGATTTCATCTCTCTCTCTCTCTCTCCCCCTTTTTTCTCTCAGAAATTCGACTATATTTCGGAATAGAAAGGGATTTAGGGATTTAGGGATTTAGGCTAAAAAGGGCATTGTTGTCTTTTCATCCTCAAAAGCAAGGGTAATATAGTCATTTAGTATATGCAACTAATGTTGTCCACCTTTCTATTTTACTTTTTTTATGTGATAAATTATAAATACACTCATTAAAATTTACTTAAAATATATATTGTCCCATGTAATTTAAGAAGTTACATCCCAACCTTTTAATTTTCTAATTGTATAACAAATGACCTCTTTTAATAATAAATTATAAATTCAATTAACAAATTTTAATGATATCATAAATATGTTTCAATTAACAATTTAAGTAATTTTATTGTTGTACACGAGAGTATTTAGGAATTTTATTTTTCTTGTTAATTCTGTTAAATAAAAATTCTAAGAAAGGGGTATTTGTAATTTCTAGAATCACATAGAGCACTTCATATTTTAAATAAATTTTAAGAGGTTTATTTGTGATTTACTTTTTTTTTAATTTTTAATTTTTATAGATAATGCTATCTCCAAACTATACTCATGTACACTTAATAAACACTTTCTTAGTATACAAATAAAAAAATAAAAATTCTCAATATACATCTGTTTATTTTAATAACACTCTCATATTCAATTTCAAAATCTTAGATAGTGTTTGGTTTAGTTTTGGAATCATGATTCCAATAAAAAAAATTCAAAACTTTTAACCAAACACAAATTTCAAAATTCAATACAAAAATTATTTTTAAAATTCATAATCAAACACACAACTCAAAACTCAATCCAAAACTTATAACCAAACTCTTTTCAAAACTATTTTCAAAACTCTATTTAAAAAAACAAAATTCAAATTTATTTTTATTTTGTTCTTTAAAATTATTTTATATTTTTTTGAAAAAAATACAAAATTTCAAAAAATATTTTGTTTATTTTAATTTTTGAAGAAAAATATTTTTTATTTTTATATTTTTTTGAAAAATCTATTCTTATTT